TGCTCACCTTGTGACGATGGTTCTTTGAGATGTGTGTCCCGATGGGTGCTCCATAACTTGCCCTCCTCCCCTCTACTTCGGAGTTCCCACTATGACTCTGCAGTAGAGAAGGAACAGAGGACGGTTAGACTGCATGCACTGGCTAGCTTCATGGTGCAGCACAACGAGAGACGGCGCATGTGCGGGCTCAATGGACACTGCTACTGAAGTTCTGCAATCAGCAGCGCAGGGACGCAGACACACCTACAGTGGAGGACCCAGGAACACACAGTCTCAAAGAACTATCGTTACTGCACAGGTTGAGTAATTTCTTCTTTTTTATGCACAGTCTCCTTTCCTGCTTTTTACTGGTCAGCCTGGCCAGGACCCATCACAGAGATCAAATTGCTTGGTTCCTTTTTCTCCTAAGATGAAGCATAAAGATGGAGCCCCTCTCTGTTCCTTATATCCCCAAAGGGATGTCTTTGTCTTACAAATCAGGAAGGCCTCCTGGGCATTCAGTCTCCTGTGTCTTTCTGGGATGCAGAAGGCATGTTAATTCTCTGAGTGCAAGACCAGAATTACCCCTGCTGGTTTAACTCAGTGGCTTTGTTTACTGCTAATATGTAAATTGTGGTTAAACCCACAACTACTTTGTCTACGACAGACTGTTTATCTCCTTTACCTAAGCCAGGCCGTCTGGTCTAAAACGTGTTCTAGATGCATCATACAGAGGGAATTCATAACTTCCCATCATTGTAAAATTATGTATTATATATTAATAATCAGCATGTTATTAGCTTTGATATGATCCCTCACAAGGCATATTTTATACAGATATTATTGCAGTAGCGTGAAGGCTGTGAATATAAGAGTGCCTAGGGTCATGTCTGGAGTACACTTAAAATTTATACGAGCACAGCTAGCTTGGTGAGTGATGTGAAAACAGCACACACCCTAGCGACATACTTATGCCAGCAAAGCCCCCATTCTAGATGCAGTTATGGCGATTGCATATTTAATGCCATTTGGGGAGGTGGGGTTCCTATGTCAGCAGAAAATTCCTTCTGTGGGTGTATCCTACATCTACACTGGAGGCTAAGTCAGAATAGACTATGCACTTCAGACATAGCCTTGGTGTCCTGTTCACTACATTGGCTTCCATTAGAATATAGGGTTAAAGTCAAGGTCTCGATGATAATATTCAAGGTTTTCCATGGAAGAAAATTTGGACAATGCTTGTTTCTTCAGGACAACAACCTCCCTTGTCAGCCAAATTCCTCGGGAGCTATGAGCTATGTGCGTTGAAAGGATGAAGCATGTGAGAGCAGGAGATGGGGCATTGTTTCTGAAATAGGTCCAAGACTTTGGAACTCCATTACAGGAAGTAAGAAGGGGGAATGACTGCAACGCTCACTATCTTCAGAATGAAGGGTAAGAATCATTTCTTCAACATTGTGAGGTTTAGTTAGTTGCAGCTCTGGAAAGGCTAAGAAAGGGAGGAGGAAAAAGAGAGAGGGAGAGGAGAAAAGAGAGAAAAAAGAAATAAAAGCAGACACCAGGCCCTTCACCTCCTGAAAGCCCTTCCTCCCACTCCAGAGCTCTGATTCAAGAGAAGTAGAAGGAAGATTGAGACCATGACTGTCCTGTTGTGATTTGTATTTTTACAAAGGCTCTTTTTAGTTACTCAGACAAACAGTGATGAGTGGTGTTAAATGAATTTCATCAGAATAGCCTAGATAGGATGTCCAGTAAAATATCTCTCCAGCATTTTAAGAAAATAGTCATAATACTCAGCTAACCAGGAATTTGTGTAAAACTTTAACAGCAGTTATGTTTGCTAATCCTGGCAATGTTACCCTTGACCCACTGTGCAAAGACCTAGGTAAGGGGGAGGAGAGATGGCCTGGGGAAAAGCAGCAAGACTGGTCTAGCTGTGCCACTTTCTGATAGACACATCCTAATGGATCAGGGCTACTTAACAAATCAAGGAGTGAGAAGAATCTCAGGGGAATAATAATTTATATATTAATAATAATATAATATAATATTATATAATATAATAATATAAAATAATAATAATTTTCATATTATTAAAAAGGGATTGGGATTTTTTAATTTGATGCTGAGTCTTGCTGATTGTTTTCTGTGTCTTGTTGGCTGTTGGGGGAATGAGCCTCTGGTTTGTGTTAAATTTATGTAAGTAAACGTGGTGATTTTATTGAATGGAATTAGTTTTTCCTGATGATGCCTGAAGACATTAAACAAGCCTTAGGGCCCAATTCTATATTCTTCATGCACAGGAAAAGTTCCCATTGATTTCAGTGAGAGTCCAGCCTTCAGAAGGAGCTGGGGATTCAGCGTGTAAAAGAAAAAAGTATTGTGTTTGTATAAGCAGTTGTTGTGCAAATTCTGCATTTGGTAACTTAAGCCTAGCTCCTCAAAGGATTTGGGCATTGCAGTGCCTAACTATTAGATGCTTTGCTGCCCAGTGGAATTCACAACCACAAGTTAGGTGCCCAGGCTCCCTCTACAGTGTATGGGGAGAATTAGACACCTAAGAATTGGATTCTCAGAAGCCAGCAACATGAGTAGGGAGCTGCTTAAGGTATTCAATAGCAAATGCTGAGGAGAAGGATGGAGTCTAAGCCCTGTCCCACAGATACAGTTAGGGCCCTAAATCTAGGCAGGAGGGAGGTGCCTCTTCAGTTGGGACTCACGGTATAAACCCTCTGTTGAAGTTAGGTGTCTAGTCCCTTTCTGACAAAAAAAAAAAAAAAAAGGTGGAGATGCCAGTGCTGTTGATATCCTTTAAGTCAGTGGTTAGGGCACTCGCCCAGGATGTAGGAGCCTCGGGTTCAAGTCCCTGCTCTGAATCAGGCAGCGCAGGGTATTGAAAGCAGGTCTTCTCCATCCCAGGTAAGTGCCCTAACCTCTAGGCTATTGGCTATAACAGGGTGGGCTTGTTACCCCAAGCATTTTCTCTGTGCTAGAGTTGTCTCAGGAATACCTAGAGGACACAGCACATCTGTCCAATATGTTATTGACACAAGTAGTATTTCTAAAACAACGCTTTAGTAACACAACAATCCCTCTAATACACCAATCCCTGTCAGTAGGCTAATAGCGTCCCAAACCACAACAACATACAGGTGGAAGTGATGTTGAAGTGGAGGCACCCTGCTTCTCATGGCAGGTCTTCCACAGGTCATTGATAGCAGCCTTCTTGCAGTACTTAAGCACCTCTCAGTTCAAGTTCCTCAGGTTTCTCTTCATTCTTCTTTTCTGAGGTTCCTCTCAGGTCTCCTTCAAGTTTCTTATTGTCACTTTTATCTCTTTTTCTTGCCTTCCCTCACCTTCTCTATCCCTCTCTCCTTCCTACACACACAGGCTCTTTTCCCTTTTGCTCACACAGCTCCCCTCTCATGTCTTACACTGCTCTCTGCTCTCCTCACATACACTGACCCTCACTCTCTGACACTCTCTCACTGGCTTACTCACAAACTCCTTGACAGATTGACAGCTCTGGCTCCTCTCCGACTCTCTCACTAAAACACTCTGACTCTTATACCACACCTTTTTTATCTCACTTTTGCTTAATATCATCTCAGAGCCCTTGGTGTGTGTGCCAATATTGCAACATAGTATCTAAATGCACCCAACCTTCTCATTAACTGCCTTACCATTGCTTGTTATTTTCCCCACCAATTCTTGGTGCTACATGCTAAAGATGGACTGGTACCTCAGTGCTTGCCTAACACAAAATGGTGGCAAAGTAACAAAATGGAGTAACTTTGGTTCTCTGGCATCGGGCTCTCTCTCTTTCCCGACATGGGATAGGTGCTTAACTCCAGGAGAGGACTCACAGCTGAGAAGCTGAGGTAAATGGAGACTCCTTCCTCTGACTCAGACTTTGTTACTTAGCTATTTTTGAGGGGAAGGGCATTGACCCCCACCTCGTCCTCAACATTTCCTATTGGCTAGCTTAGGTGATTCCCTACCTAGTGTGCAGGCTTTTGTGGATCCTATTCTTAGGCACTTACCTCTATATGCGTTGTACAGAGAGCTTGGGATCCTAACTCAGGGCTGTGGACTCTACTAGGGGGCGGGCTCCAAGTTAAGCACTGGAACACTGAGTCTAAGTCCCTTTTGTGGATGTAGCTCTTAGGCCAGTGGCTCTCAAACTTTTGTACTGGTGACCCCTTTCACATAGCAAGCCTCTGAGTGCCACCCCCCCTTATAAATTAAGAACACTTTTTAGTATATTTAACACCATTATAAATGCTGGAGGCAAGGCGGGGTTCGGGGTGGAGGCTGACAGCTTGCGACCCTCCATGTACTAATCTCGTGATCCCCTGAAGGGTCCCGACCCCCAGTTTGAGAACCCCTGCCTTAGGCTTTATTTGAAGATGTGAATACCATGCTTAGCAGTTTGTAATCAAACAGTAAGGCTCAAATTCTGCACCTGAAAGATGAATGTTATTCGCTCCCTCCCAAGCAAAATAAAATTTAGCTTTACTTATAGTGATGTATTGTTTATCATTTAACTCAAAAAACCCATTCAGTGAAATCCAACAAGTAACATTTCCTTGTATAAATTCTGCATTCGACATTTTTTATTCTTTTTGTTGTTGTTCATTAGGGTGCTTGTGGGCTCATTGTTGCAAAGTCATGAGCACCTACAACTCCCATGGAAGTCAGTAAGAGTTGCGAACAGTCAACAGCTTGCAGGATTGAGCCCTGTACTGCATAATCTTTAATTGTAATTATGAGCGTTCCTTCACACAAGTAGTGTCTTAGTTTAATGGGACTATGTCTATAAGTGCTCATGAATTTAGGGGTTGCAAAGCCTGGCCCTAACTGTTCAGCACATCTACATTTTAGCTGAGAACAGTGGTAGTGTGACTGCTGTGGTGTATCATGGTTAATAAGCAGGCATAAGAGCGTTATATATATAATATTTTTTAAATTTATTTTTACAGAATTTTGATGTAGTCAGCTGGTGTGTATCAAAAGAAGCCATGAGACACCTGCAACTGCAATGGTAAGAGAGGAAATTAATTAATGGCCCTTTTTGGCTTTTGAAATTTTGTCTATAAGAAAATATAACATCATCTTTTTTTAATCTTTTGAAGTTTTAAAAATATTTAACGTGGGCTCAAAATTGATGCACATTTAAAACTACTGTCTTGGCCTGGTAAGACCTGGAGGGGAAGAACCATCCTCCCTCAGGTCAAGGAACAAAAGTGGAGCCACTGAACAGTAACTGCAACCTTAATTTTACAGATTTCAGAGTAGCAGCCGTGTTAGTCGTATCGCAAAAAGAAAAGGAGTACTTGTGGCACCTTAGAGACTAACCAATTTATCCAATGATGTGAGCTGTAGCTCACAAAAGCTTATGCTCAAATAAATTGGTTAGTCTCTAAGGTGCCACAAGTCCTCCTTTTCTTTTTGCTTCATTTTACAGTTGCCCCTGGAGCTGGTGCACTGTTTCTTTGCAGAAGGAGGGGCCAGTGGATTTGTGTAGGTAATGGATCCAGCAGAAAAGTCCTTCTCTCCCACCCCAGACCCAACTTGCCTCCATATCACCTCCAAATCCTAGTGTTGTGGCTCAAGGGAACCCTACCAGAAACATGTTCAGGACATGCTGGGGTCCACACCCCTGACAGCATTCTTTGTATTTTCCCACCCTAATATAGTGAATGAAACTGCAGTGGTTCTACTGTGTGAAGATCTCTGTGTGAAGAACTGCACACAAGAAGCTATTAGCAACACGCAACAAGAAGTTGTATTAATCCTACAAAACCCACAGAATAGTCTATATATTCATGAGCATCACCTTCTGGCACCTTAGATAACTATTTACATATATACACACAGAGATATCTCATAACGTTGCGCTTACGAGGTGTGGGAAGCATTTACAATTAATTGGAACCGTTGAAGAACCACCTCAGTCTGCACTTACTTTAAAATGAGTCGGAAAGTTACAAATGTCTCCATTCAATAAATCTTTTCTTTTAATTCTTGAATTTCAGGAGCTGGCTAGTCATTTTGCTAGTTTCATGCTTAAGGACATATGCATCAAGGGCCTCTAAACCCAATATTTTACTGATGATGGCTGATGATCTTGGTTTGGGGGATGTAGGGTGCTATGGCAATGATACACTAAGGTAAGGTCATAGACTACATGGTCACGGTGGCATGGATCGAGGAGCAGAAATCCATCAAAATGGCCCCAGAATTTTCATCTTGCTGTGTAGTGTTGTCCTCTGGCCTGGTGGAAATACACAGTCAAGAAAAAGGATAGGCATACTTGAGTCAACCAGTATCCCACCAGCTCACTGTACATGAAAAGTGCTCTTCATTTTCCTTTGGAGTGTCCTAATGATAGCACAGTAGTCTGTGGCTTACAATAGATATGAGATCAGGTTCAAAACTACTTAACATTAGAAAAATAACATATTAATTAAAGTAATCCTGGGCTTACTTATTTCGGTAGCTGCCTGTCATCTTAGATGATCAGTTTAAATATGTTCTTTTCAGTGTGCAGTATATATAAAATAAATGGGCAACAGTAAGTGTACATTACGAGGGACTTTCTTGGGATGGTTGTCGATTCATTTGCCCAGACAGACACGCATGTGCGCGTGTGGGTGCTTACACACAGGCTCATGCATGTACTCCAAGGTTACATTTGAAATTGGGGTTTGACACCATATGCCAGCTCCAACCAGCACAGGTTTAAATGTAATATGTGCATTGAATATGTTTCCATGTTCATGATATAGTTATCCCAAGATGGATTTATCCATCTTTATTTAGACATATTAATACTGCGTGTGTGTGTGTGAGAGAGAGAAAACATAAAGAAAGTTCTTGGATGAGCGAGAAATTTCTTGTTATTATAGTCACTATTATGTGTGTTCTGGGTATTTCATATCTTCCTCTCTCCAGCTTTAGCAGCTGCCAAAGAGTTGATGCTGGACCTGATGTGGCATTTGTCTGTTTCAGTATGTCGAATCTTATTTTTCTCTTTCTTGAATGGGGTCTCACGGCTGGTAACAATGTGTGTTCACTTTAATAAGACAGGCTAGCTTTCGACCAGGCACAGTCCATGCAGCTATTGTTCTCCTTCCCTTTGAGGAGTTTTCCAATAGATGGTAATCATTTTAATTGCAAAATTGAGATATCTGTTAAAAGGAAAATATAATTTAAAAGTGTAAAAATTGTTTCTGAAGAACTGAGTGGCAGGCACAAGAGACAATTGGATTGGTTTGTTTTTTTAAAAAAGATTTAACTGTACTATGTGTTTGCAACCTCAGTCATATACAATATATAAAAACAGCTTTAAAACAACAAAATGTTACTCAAGTCACATATTAAAAAGTGATAAAACAGAAAAGGGCCATTCTCTTATCTTCACTTTTATTTCTGCAGTGAACATAGTTGGTCCCTTTCTGGGGGCAGGGAAAATAAATCCCTGTATTGTCATATATCCATATCTGGTTCCATATGCCAATACAGTATATGCTTTCTTCATCTGGGATGTACTCTTTGGTTCTTGTTTTTCTTTATTACACATTATTTATCCAGTGTAACTGATTTCTTATTTGAATCAATACCTCTCCCAAATGGACAGTGGTTATAGGTAATAGTAATAGGACTAATATAAACATTTTCTCATTATTTATTTGTATATAAGGCAGACAATTGTAGATTCATCCATGATGATCTTGAACATGCTGCTTTATTTTGTGCGTGTGTCAAATTTGATCAAGGTTTGTTTTTCTTTTTAGGACCCCTAATATTGACCGTCTGGCAAAGGAAGGAGTGAAACTTACTCAGCATATCGCTGCGGCTCCACTTTGCACGCCAAGCAGAGCAGCTTTCCTGACTGGCAGGTACCCCATCAGATCAGGTTGGACCTCTCTTTAATGGTTTACTGCTGCCTAAACAGTACAATTTTCTATTGCAATTCCTTTAAATAGATCTTGATTAATAGACCTTGTATCGAGTTCTATAGTTTTTGACAGTGTATCATTGCATTTTGGTTTTAAATAAAACATGACCTTCCATTCATCGGAGAGAACAATAGGAAAAGAAATAAGTAATTTATTATTTTGTACTATGCTTTAGGAATGGCATCCAGCACTAAACAGTGTATTCTTTATTGGATTGGTGGCTCAGGAGGGCTCCCTCCAAATGAAACAACTTTTTCCAGAATACTGCAGCAGCAAGGTCATACCACAGCACTTATAGGTACAGTATGTAGAAATTAGCTAGACTACAGTTTCCAGTCTGTATAACTTCTTAAGCATTGTAACATTTTGAACTATAGTCCATTTGGTTACAAAAAAACATAATTTACATATCTGATCAGCCCAAAATGAGTAAATATGGATGTACACAGTAAACTGAAAGCAGTTCAGAAAAAAGGATCTGGTGAATTCAGTACATAATGTTTTAGGAAACACCCACAGAAATATGCATTGACTTATGAGAGCAGATGCTTGCCAGACACTACAGTGGTCTTAAACAATTACAGCTCAGTTACTCACCTGCTGGGTGAACTTGCTATGTTTGAGCATCCTGTATATTACCAGAGCCAAGCCACTTACCTTCATGAGCTGTACCTATATTAGTTGAGGCACAAAGTGGAAAGACACTCATTGACTTTAGTGATGGATCAGGCCCCACACAGTGGGAAAAAATCCCACTGAAGTCGCTAGGAATTGTGCCTGAGTAAGGATAGCAGGATTTGTCCTTTAAACCACACTTTTTTTTTCCAAAAAAATATTGTTCTAAAAAGTGAAAGACACTTATTGTGTACTTATTGTGGTTAAGTATACTGAGGGTAAAAATTAATCTTTTGTTGGAGGACCAGCAAAACCATTTCCGTTTTGCTTAGCTCTTAGTTTGTGGTTTAAGAGGGACTTAGTAATATATAACTCTTGTGCTAGCCCTCTGCAAAGGGATGGACTTGACTCTGGACAGTGCAGACTGGTTCTCATGTTATACTGTAAAACACAACCAACAGCTAGTAGTACTCAGAGGTCCTTTGCCATTCTTGTAGCCACTGAGACCATAGTCATAGGCTCTTCTATAACTATGCACTTTTCTGTGTTACAATATATTCCTATTGTGCTATAATACAACTTAATTATGGTCTATGTAAATAACAATTATTAGTATGCTATAAGTTCTGTAGAATTAGAACAACATTTATTGGGGATAATTTTAAAATAAATTTAGCCAAATAAAATTGAAGTGCGGGGGCTGAGCGTGTGTAGATCCTGTTACAGAGGAATTCCCTCCCAGGAGTGGATGTCACACTAAACTTATAGGCTATCTGATGTACTTGGATCCCAAAGGATCCTCCTTTAGAGTAAGGGCTATCTTATAATTTAAGATAACCATCATAAAAAAAAATCCCATTCTTGATCTCATTCAGTATGTCTCTCCCCTCATCGGGGCTTTCATCCTAACTGGAATTCTGTTAAATGAGTTAGATGAGGGTAAATTGTTTTTTCTATTTATTATAGATCATAACAGGGTTCAAAACAGAACTAGATAAATTCATGGAGGGTAGGTCCATCAATGGCTATTAGCCAGGATGGGCAGGGATGGTGACCCTAGCCTCTGTTTGCCAAAGCTGGGAATGAGCAACAAGGGATGGATCACTTGATGATTACCTGTTCTATTCATTCCCTCTGGGGCACCTGGCACTGGCCACTGTCGGAAAACAGGTTACTGGGCTAGATGGACCTTTGGTCTGACCCAATAGGACCATTCTTATGTTCTTATGCTTCCACATATAAATTTAACCTCTTCCATCCCTGACCTAGACTTGGCTGGTCTGTTTTATATTTTCATTTAGGAGGAGAGCCAAACTTTTGGGAATGTAGGCAGGGGTACCCGGTGTCAATGGTATATGATTTTAAATCTTTCATTTATATTTTCAGGAAAGTGGCATCAGGGTATGAACTGTGAATCCCACAGTGATCACTGCCACCACCCTTTAAACCACGGTTTTGACTATTTTTATGGGATGCCTTTTACCCTTGTGAATGAGTGTCAAGGTACAGAAAATCGTTGCCTTAACACATTGGTGCAAGCTAAATATTGGCTTTACAGTCAGATAATTGCCCTTACAGTGCTCACACTATTGATTGGAAAACTGACCAGCTTATTCTTGGTAAAATGGAAAGCAATCATCTGCTTTGCCCTGTGTGGTTTCCTGTTTTTCATCTCCTGGTTCTTCAGTTATGGATTTGTAAAGTATTGGAACTGTATCCTCATGAGAAACCATGACATTACTGAACAACCAATGAAGCTAGAGAAAGCCACTTCCAACGTACTTAAGGAGGCTGTTTCATTTATTGAACGGTAACCAATAAATATCATATTATCCTTTAAAGTTTCTTAACTAAATTGTTACTGTAAATGTCTCTAATAATACAGGTCACCATTGGGTTAGGCAGCTAATGTGCTAAGACAACTGCCTATCATGCTGACCAGTATTGTTTCATTGTTTCCTTGTGTTCCCCTGGCTGACTGGCTCCACTTCTTGCCTCTAATACTTAGACTGTGAACTCCTTGGGGCAGGGACCAACTCTTTGTTCTGTTTTTACACCACCCTGCACAATGGGGTCTTGGTCCATGACCAGGGCTCTTACACAGACAGTACCACATTACAAATAATAACAACAATTTTAGCTTGATGCCTGTAGATTAACATCTCTCAAGAAAATAGTCCATAGGCTGAACAGTTTATCAAAAGCAATAACTGGATTTTCCAACTGTATTAGTTCTTTGTAATAGAGAGAGCCTTAATTTTCCCTTACAAGTATTCATGTATGAAATCTGAGCTAATGAATGAGTATCCACAATGAATGAGTATCCCTTCCACTAGTGCACTGGGCTTTTGCAGTAAAAATGGCAAAATTCTCCCCTGTGTGCAACATCTTGACTGTGCTCAACCCCCCAAACAGAAATCCCTTTCTCTTTGGCAGAGAAAACATCAGCCTTTTGGCTGTGTTTACACATTCCTGCTAACACAAATATTTGTTTATAAATTAACTATTTCGTATGAAAAATGTTCCATTCTTCCATGCACCTGGAATTTGTTTTTCTTCAACTTTGCTTGGCTGACACCTCACAAGCAAAGTTGTGTAAGATTCCACCTGCATCTAACCTAGAGCCAGAAAAAAAGCTCCATTCCTGCTTCGAATCCAACTCAGGATCTGAACCATTAAAGTAGATCTTTCCCCACAAGAAGCCCAAACCTCAAAGAAGATTGAATCTAAAATTCTTGTTGTAGCCCCTCCCTAACAAGACCGGTTAACTGGAGCTGACCACAAAGACTATGTCTACGCTCCGAGCTAGAGGCATGATTCTTCTGCTCATATGCACATAGTCACACGAGTTCTCATAGAGCGAGCGCACGTATCAATACAGTGTAGCCCCGGTAGCATGGGGAGCGGCAACAGAGGCAGTTTCAAGTGGATTTGTACTTGGCACGGCTCAGCCGTGCTTCTACTGCTGCTGCCTGTGCAACCGTGTCTACACTTCTATTTATACTCACACTAGCTTGATGAGAGTTAGTATGTGTACAAAACCAGGGAAATCACACCCCAGCTCATAGTGCAGATGTAGCCTAAAATGTGACATTGAATAAACACCGAGCAATATATTTCAAGGCCATTTGGGTTTGTTTTTTCTGTTTTTTGGGGGGGAGGGGGGAGTTGTTTTTCAACTAAAACTCTCTTTTTCTGAGACGGTGACAATTTATTTTTTGTTTTGTTTTTAGAAACAAGCACGGTCCATTCCTCCTCTTTGTTTCCTTTTTACATGTCCACACACCCCTCGTCACCACAGAGAAGTTTCGTGGGAAGAGTAGACATGGTTTATATGGAGATAACGTAGAGGAGCTGGACCGGATGGTGGGTAAGTGGTCTTTTTGAATGAGATTGGCTTTATTTATTTAAATTTGTCTAAAAAAATTTAAAAGGCATGGTAGATCCCCATTATAATTTACAATAACAAATAGATTTAAACTGCCTGAAACAGGTCTCTACAATATACATATGTGCCCAAGGACCAGCACTCTGTTACACTGCCCCTTGCTTTAAATATATACATGTCATTCTTAGGATGCAAATACAAGCAGTTGTTTTGGAGTATCTCTTTCTTTTAATTAAAACGTCTTTTAATTAAAACTGTGCAGTGCTGTGATAGTTACAGAGAAGTATAATGTAATCAAATTGTAAAATACACTTTATTACATCTGGCCTCAAAGAATGCCTTTAACATACATTTAATTCAGCATGGTTCAAACATGACAGTTGTCAGTGTAAAGTTGAACTTGCACAGTGTACTCACTTTTCTGTAGTTTATTTCTTGTTGTGCCTATCTGTCTTAGGTACCTATATGGCTGTCGTCACCTAAGTATTTGAGCACCTCTCTTAGTCTTTAATGTATTTATCCCCACAATACCCCTGTGAGGTAGGGAATTTTGATCTAGTGGCTAAGGCACTGGATTGGAACTCAGTGACTTGGGTACAGTTCCCGTCTCTGCCACTAGCCGACTGGGTACCCTTCAGCAAATCGCTTCCCCTCCCTGTGCCTCAGTTTACCCATCTGTAAAATTAATTACACTTACTGCAAGAAGCCTTGATATCTACAGATGAAAAGTGCTATATTCGACCTACGTATTAATAATAATCATTATTATAATTATTATCACAATTTTACAGCTGGGGAACTAAGACGCAGAAAGGCTAAATAATCAAGGTCACACTGGAAGTTTGTGGAGGAGCATAGACTAGGTTAGTAGCCTAACCACTAGACCATCCTTCCTTTTGATACCCTTCAGCTGTTGCTCCTTCGTCTGTAGCCACAGGAGGCACCTATTGCCAGTGATGAAGCTATTTTGACGCAGTATATGCTGAGGTCAGGAAAATCACAGATAAATCTTGATCTGCATAGCCTACTGCTGTCAGTAGTATCAAAAAAGTTCATTAGGAAATAGGATTTGAATCTGCACCATTGAAGGTAATGGGATTTTTATCATTAACTTCAGCATTGTGAACAGGTTCTGACCACTAGTGCACAGCTGGATCTCAATTTGTCTTTGCTCATGAAGAGGCAGAGCACTTTAATATGGATGAGAAAGTCTGCAGCATTATTATTAATTATTATTATTTATTATTTAAGCACCAGCAGGTTGCACAAGCTAGAGAATGAAGACAATCCTGGCCCCAGAGTTCACAGTTTAAAAGAACAAATGACAGTGACAAAGTACACTGAGAGGCCTGAATGAAGGATTACACATTGAATTATTCAGTGGCTGATTTTTATTTGTAATTATAATATTTTGTTGGCGTCATTGCAGAGCATTGAAAACTCTATAATAACTTTCCTTTGGATCCTTGTTTTCCCTAAAATGTGTGAACTTTCCTTTTATGATAGAGGGGCAATAACAAAGATGTGATGATAGTAGAAAGCTGATTCTTGGCAAGAATTTGGCCCAGAATTCTTCATATAGTGCCTGATTGAAAGATTGAAATAATTAGGCTTGTTTAGTCTGGAAAAAAGAAGACTAAGGGGGGGGACGGGACATGATAACACTTTATTGTACATAAAAGGTTGTTACAAGGAGGGGGGCAAAAAATGTCAGTGTCCATTGAAGGAATTGAAAGATTCCAGGGCTGGAATCATGAAAGGATGTAGGCACCTAACTACCACCTAAATCCCAGAATCAGGCCCCAGAGGGATTCACAAAACCCCCACTCAGCTGCCCCCTAACCCTGTAGGTGTCTAAAGTCACTTGATGCCTAAATGTTTGCAGTTAAAGTTCCCTAGGAGCCAAAATTTCTGCCTGTGCACATGAACACTGCAGCCCCATGCCAGACATCCAGATATGACTCAGCCCAAGTGTGATGTACAAACTGGGGAAAGATAAGCAGGCTTCTCTCTGCCCAATTTGCCTGTGGGGCCTGATCAGATAAGATGGCTTAGAGCTCACTTACTGGATCGGGCTCCTACAGGTGAACCTACACAAAACATGGGGTGGAGGGAGGAGGACCATCCTCATAACTTTTTGCTTAGTGGTTATGATACTCACCTGAGATGTAGGACACACACACACACACACCCTTGTTCAAGTCCCTGCTCTGCATGAGTGGGGAGAAGAGCTCTGAACAGGGATCTACCATCTCTCAGGTGAGTACTCTAACTGCTGGACTAGAGGAGACTGTGCTGTGAGGCTTCCTCCATCTTTGCTGTTGAAGCTGTTCCACTCTTAATAAATAATGAAAGAATCATTGGGTGAGAGAGAAAGACAGCACGCCCGCCTGAGAATGTCTGGTGGTTCGAGCACCTCACCTGACAGGTAATAAATGGCAGAGTCCTGTTCAAATCCCTTCTCCCTCTCAGGTTGAGGGGGAACTTGATGAGTTTCCTAAATACTAGGCTAAAAGTTATGAGGTCAGACCTGCTCCCCAGCTTTTTGCAAAAACAGCATAGGTTTCTGTCTCAGATCCTAGCAAGTGGTCCCCGCTGGGCATCCACTAGGACTGCTGTAAGGAAAGTCCAAGCCTCTGTGCTCTGGATCCACAGGGTATTAAGCTTCTGGAGCCTCAGCAAGCTGCTGCACTGTTCCTCCCTTGGCCAGGGTACTGACTCCCAGTCTGCTACCCCTTCTTGGAAATGGGCCCTAGGACAGGTGGGCTGAAGAGCTCCCTCAGAACCAGCACTTCTCCCCAAGATACCCCTCTTACTTAAACACACCTCTCCTAAAACTCCACCCAAAAGGTGTGAAGCTTCTGAAACTCTCTCAGGGGCAGGCAGTTGTGGTGAAGCATTCAACATACACACACATGCTATGTACAGTCTAAAACCTTTATGTTCTTCTATACTTAATTGTGCAAAGCACAAGAACCAGCACTTCCCCCCAAGATACCCCTCTTACTTAAACACACCTCTCCTAAAACTCCACCCAAAAGGTGTGAAGCTTCTGAAACTCTCTCAGGGGCAGGCAGTTGTGGTGAAGCATTCAACATACACACACATGCTATGTACAGTCTAAAACCTTTATGTTCTTCTATACTTAATTGTGCAAAGCACAGGAGAGCACAGAGCATTTAAAACAATAAACACTAAACCCATATTTAATTCCCTTACCAAGCCAGGGCGTGCTTTGAGCTGGTATCTGAGTCTCTGCAATGGTCCAGAGCTCTTGGGGCTACCTGGGTTCAGGAAAGTGGGCAGTGTTTGCCCTCCCCATGGGGCTGCTACTTGCTATGTGACCTCGCTTTCCTGGCCAGGAGAAAATGGACTGCTGCCCTGAGCAGACCAACTTCAGCCCTTTTTAAAAACCAGTCTTTTGTCCAAAGGGAATACATTTCCAGCAATTGGATACTTATGAGTCAATTGCCCTCTACTGTTAGTCTTATGCCACCAGTTTTTGGAATTTTCAACCCAACATGGAGACAAACAGACCATAGAAAAGGCAAACATTTGAACACTGAAAGTGGAGTTTGCAGCCTGACACAGATACTAGGGTTCATAATCTCACACAGAATTCATAAATTGTACAGACATATTCCCAAATCATCACAGTGCCTAATCGCATGAGAGGGTTTGCAGCTTCCAAGCAGAGGGAGGAGCCCCCCTGCAGCCCAGACTTAGGTGCCCCACTCGCTGAGAGGGGCAGGGTTTAGAACACCCCTCTCACCTTAGTATCTCCCATTGACTAGTTTAGGTGGAGAACCGCTAGCATATTGGCTTTTGTAGTTCCCATTCTGAGGTGCTCTCTCTCCCCGTTCATTGTATATGGAGCCTCAGTGCCCAACTCAAACATGATGAATCCCAGTGATTTTCTACATGCCTAAAAGGTGTGGGGACCCTCAGCATCACCACACCTAAGTTCCTTTGTGGATCTAACCCCCACTGACTTCACTGGTCTTTGGATCAGGTCCTTAATGACATATTTGTAACCCCGTTTCTCAATACTGAATAGCACTATTTTTCTTCATTTACAGGCAGAATTCTGGATGCTATTGACAAAGAAGGCTTGAAGAATAACACATTCACTTATTTCACATCTGACCATGGAGGATCCTTGGAGGCTCAAAGACAAAATGCCCAGTTGGGTGGTTGGAATGGAATATACAAAGGTGAGAACTCTGTAGACTATCTGTCTGTGGGACCTTATTTTAAGAAAGAAGATGCTATAAATAGGTCCAGGTTGAATATATTTATAAAAAGTTATATTCTGCTTTCTCTTGGAGCTCAGAAAGGCAACTAAAACCCAATCTCCAGATTTACCAGCATCTATACTTGTATAACAATACTGTGGTATCTGAGTACCAGTCTTTAATGTATTCATCTGCAATACCCCTATGAGTTAAGGAAGTACTATCATCCCCACATATGGATGGGGAACTAAGGCACAGAGAGGCTGGTGTGCCTACTGACATAGGAAGTCTTGGCAGAGTAGGGCCTTGAACCCCGATCTCCAAGGCCCTGGGGCAGTGCCCTAACTACTAGACAATCCTGCCTCTCTTCCATACCAATGTTTCTATACCAATAAATGCAGCTGGATAATGGCATGGAGCGTATGTTTATAAAATTTGCAGATGACATCAAGCTGGGAGGGGTTGCAAGTGCTTTGGAGGACAGGATTAGAATTCACGGTAATCTTGACAAATTAGAGAATTGGTCTGAAATCAACAAGATGAAATTCAATAAAGAGATGTGAAAAGTACTTCACTTAGGAAGGAAAAATTAAATTCACAAATACAAAATGGGCAGTAATTGGCTAGTACTGCTGAAGAGGATCTGGGGGTTAAAGAGCAGTGCTTCTCAAGCAGGGGTATGTATACCCCTGGGGGTACTCAGAGGTCTTCCAGGGGGGCTCAACTTATCTAGATCAGTGTTTCTCAACCTGGGGGTTGCAGCCACCAGGGAGGGGTCATGGGATGGCCCCCCCAGGATAGTAAAAATCTGGGGGCAAATTTGTCTCTTTCATCCCGCCCTTGCACCCATGCTCCTTTATCCAAAATACTCATTTGGCACTGAAGTTAAATAGGTGTTAACAAAATCAGAAAAAACAGTGTTTTTCAAAGTGTGATTTAAAATCCCTTTCTCTCTCCATTGCTCAGTTTTAACAAGGAGTCCGGTAGCACCTTAAAGACTAACAAATTTATTTGGGCATAAGCTTTCTTGGGTAAAAAACCCACTTCTTCAGACACATGGAGTGAAAAATACAGATGCAGGCATAAATATACTGACACATGAAGAGAAGGGAGTTACCTCACAAGTGGAGAACCAGTGTTGACAAGGCCAATTCAATCAGGGTGGATGTGGCCCACTCCCAATGATTGATGAGGAGATGTCAATCCCAAGAGAGGGAAAATTGCTTTTGTAGTGAGCCAGCCACTCCCAGTACCTATTCAAGGCCAAATTAATGGTGTTAAATTTGCAAATGAATTGTAGCTCTGCAGTTTCTCTTTGAAGTCTGTTTTTGAAGTTTTTTGTTGAAGGATGGCTACTTTTAAATCTGTTATAGAATGTCCAGGGAAATTGAAGTGTTCTCCTACTGGCTTTTGTATGTTACCATTCCTGATGTCTAATTTGCGTCCATTTATTCTTTTACATAGAGACTGTCCAGTTTGGCCAATGTACATGGCAGAGGGGCATTGCTGGCACATGATGGCATATATCACATTGGTAGATGTGCAGGTGAATGAGCCCCTGATGGTGTGGCTCTTGCAGTCAGGTCCTCTGCTGGTGTCGCTAGAGTAGATATGGGGACAGAGTAGGCAACAGGGTTTGTTACAGGAGTTGGTTCCTGGGTTAGTGTTTCTGTGGTGTGGTGTGTAGTTGCTGGTGAGTATTTGCTTCAGGTTGGGGGGGCTGTCTGTAAGTGAGAACTGGCCTGTCTCCCAAGGTCTGTGAGACTGAGGGATTGTTTTCCAGGATAGGTTGTAGATTATTGATGATGTGCTGGAGAGGTTTTAGCTGGGGGCTGAACCTGATGGCCAGTGGTGTTCTGTTCTCAATTTTCTGTCTCTTGACTCTTGTCTTGTGATGTTATCATTTCACTAGTTCTCCTGTTATCCTAGGCTTTGTCTGTACTAGCATTTGTCCTGCTGTGTTTCTCATTCCACATATATCTATATAGTGTCTCAAATCATTCAAATAAACCGTTAGTCTCTATCACAAGACTCCTTTTCTTTGTCCTGCTGTTGTAATTGATTGCCAATTGCTTGTTAAGTGACTAAATGCTAATCTAAACGCAAACATTTGCAAAGTATCAGGACATGGTGGCTCAGCCTCAGGCAAACCACAAAACTTTGTGCCTGAGAACAAACATCTGTGGAGAGCCTTATCAACACAATTAGCATTTACGATCAATTAGCTCAAATTATAACAGGAGCACCAACTCTAGTCTAGACAAAACCCCCCCCCCCCCCCCCCCCCCCCCCCCCCCTTCCCCCCCCCCCCCCCCCCACCCCAACTCCCCCCCCCCCCCCCCCCACCCCCCTAGACAAAGCATGAGTCCCCCAGGCTAGACAGGACCTGGATTTTTAATATAAAAAGAGGAAACATAAATATGTCTTCCCTCCCAAAAACAAACATACAAACAAAAAAATGCATAGGCCCCCAAACCTTCATGCCACCTTTACACATCAGAAGAAAATCAAACAAAGGCACGGTCTCAGTTATTGCCCCTTTAAAAAATGAAATTATCTGTTACCCTGATTTTAGGGAATTAGGAATGTAACTGCTGACTCTGGGGCTGAAAGATTGGATCTGGATGTAAAAATTTTGTTCCTTTCCACCATTGCAAGTACATATAGAACAGAATGCTGGGAGCACAACAGAATAGGTTAGGGTAAGAGAAAACTGATAGGGGAAAGAGACCCTCAAAAAAATCTTGCCTTGAAAATAGCTACAGGGTTAGGTTAGTAGTCAAGATTTTTGAGGTTGTTTAAGTGAGATACAGTCCCACTAAAATAATCATGTAACATTCAAATTTTACACTTCTTATAACTTTTTTTTTACACATACTTGGGGCTCAAACTTTGGCTCTGATCCTGATATTGCTCTCTCGGGATCAATCATGGATAATTTCCATCACCCACTTCCCTTTTGGGGAAGCAATAATTAAAAAGCTATTCAGGGGCTGGGGTCGAATTTATGGTGCAAATTTAGGTCATTTGATCAAGAGGTTCCCAATATATGTTCTCCCCCTGCATTATGAGCTTTTTTTAATTTTCAGGTTTCAGAGTAGCAGCCATGTTAGTCTATATTCGCAAAAAGTAAAGGAGTACTAGTGGCACCTTAGAGACTAACCAATTTATTTGAGCATAAACTTTCGTGAGCTACAGCTCACTTCATCACTTCACTGTAGCTCACGAAAGCTCATGCTCAAATAAATTGGTTAGTCTCTAAGGTGCCACTAGTACTCCTTTTCTTTTTTTTAATTTTCAAAGTACTGTAAAATCCACATGCATAATGAGATTGTCTGTGATATTGGTATGCCACAACAGGGGCAATAGCGCACGTTTGGAATAATTTGGTTCAGGCATTCCTCAGATACTGCCCCCCCTCCCCAAAAGAATATTTTAATATTGTAGTTGCTCTAAAACTGACATGCCTTGTGAGATTACCTTGAACAATGGTATTCCACAACTGAAACTGAGGTGGAAGGGAACTCCCATTGAGATGAATGGATCATTTCACACCACCCAGAGCTATTGTGTTAGATTATTCATCTCTTTAGAGCATCCTAATTCATCTCATCATACCCTACTGAGGTGAATGGGCCACTCCTTTGTACTGCAGAGGGCTGTGCAGAGCCCCTTCCTTTGTATATACTTCAGGGAGCTAGTGCAGCGGTTCTCAAACTTTTGTATTGGTGACCCCTTTCACAGAGCAAGCCTCTGAGTGTGACCCCCCCCCCCCAATAAATTAAAAACACACACACATATATAGATATATATAAACACTATTATAAATGCTGGCGGTGAAGCGGGGTTTGGAGTGGAGGCTAACAGCTCGCAACCCGCCAGGTCATAACCTCATGACCCCCTGAGGAGTCCCAACCCCCAGTTTGAGAACCCCTGAGCTAGTGTAAAGTCTGGGGCTCCCTGCTATTCCTCTTGCTGCCTCCAGCTGATAGGCTGTGAGGAGCACATCTATCAGGTACCATCCTCCTTTCTTCCCATGGCCCTTCCAGCCCTACCCGGGCATGGTGGGGCCAGGAGGAGGGTAGAGCTGATAGCTAAAGTGGCAGATCATTCCCCTCCCAGGGGGGCCCTCCAATCATGCCCCCTCACTAACACCTATTCTTCAAGAAACAAGGGGAATTAACTGCAGAAAAACATGGTTAATGCGGGTCTTGTTCACACTATAGCACCTTTGCCAGTATAGCTATGCCAGCTAGACTCACCCCTGCTTAGTACCCTCTTCAACTCAAGAAGTGCGTTTCAGATTCCTGCTAGCACATCCAGTCTGACATACCTTCTCTGGCTTGTCAGATTGGGTTTATATCTGCTGGTGAACCACAGCACCATTCATTAGACTGCTTCCTAAGCTGGTGAACCACCTGTATCATTAATTTTATACTAGTGTAACTCCACTGATTTCGTTGGGGTTGCTCCTGATTTACACTGCTACAAGTGAGGAGAGAATCAGGTCTAGGCACCAACTCCATGGTTGCTCCAGGGCTCAAGCACCCATGGAAAAATATAGTGGGGGTGGTCATCACCCACTAGCCACAGCTGTTCAGCTGGGCCACCATTCAGCTGTTTGGCAGCTGGCATGGGGCCTCGGGGGAGAGGGCAGAGCATGAACAGGAAGAGGTGGAGGGGGTGGGGTGGGGTGCAGCCTTGGGGCGGAGTTGGGGTAGAGCACCCACTGGAAAAAATAAAAGTCAGTGCCTATGCGAAGACTTGTCCCTGCTCCTAGATCTTTACCTAGCAGATCTCATTTTTCCTTTTTAGTGAGAGGTTTTGACAGCAGCTGTATTGTCACATACCTTTGCCATTCTTTAAGCAAAGGCTCCACATACTTAATACATTGTGGCTGTATGTTTGACATGTTCATGAGGGTTAAGTCTCAAGTATTACCTTCTTCAGAGAATAACTGAGGTCCAGCACTAAATGTC